ACAACAACAACAAATTTATATGACCAGATTAAGAGCATCAGTATTTCCCATAGAGTACCAGATTTCCAGGTGCTCTTCCAATTAAATCCATTTGAGAATCATGATCTGATCCAATATTTTCTAGTTATAAATGACAAAATCAAGGCTTTTAGAAGCTAAATGACTTACCTAAGGTCACAAAGCCATATATAGCACAGGAAAAGTGCACACTCCATATCCTTCCCTTGTTGCCATCTCTTAACTTCATAGACAGGGCTTGTAGGACAATTAACCTTTGTGGGGAAAGGGACAGAGAGGAGTCAAGGATGACTTCTAGGTTTCTGGGTAGGTGAGTGAATAGATTGATACCATTCACCAAAATTCGGAATAAATTAAAAAAAACCACCAAACTCACTGTCATTAAGCCATTTCCAACTCATAGCAATCCCTATTGGGTTACCAAGGCTGTAAATCTTTACAGAGATAGATTACCTAGTATTCCTTACATGGAGTGGCTGGTGGGTTTGAACTGCTGACCTTCTGGTTAGCAGTCAAGTGCCTTATCCACTATGCCACCAAAAAACCAAAATAAACAAACTCACCACGATCAAGTCAATTCCGACTCATAGCAACCCCTCCTTGGGTTTCTGAGGCAGTATCTCTACATAAGTAGATTGCCCAATCTTCCTTCTGAGGAACAGCTGGTAGGTTTGAACCACCAGCCTTCTGGTTAGCAGCCAAATGCCTTAGGCACTACACCACCAGAGCTCCTTAAATTCAGAATATAGATTGCTAATTCTAAATATAGACTCACTTTAGCATGACACAAGGAGTATTATTCGATTTATTCATTTCCAGAAAGAATTCAAGAAGAATAAGTAGTTGTCAAGTACATGAATTAATTTGACAAATAGTTATTGATTCCCCTACCATGAGCCAGGGATGTTCTAGGCCCTTGGTTTCAAAGCGGGTCTCCGCAGCAGCAGCAGCAACAACAGCTGGGAACCTGTTAGAAATGTACCTTCTGGGGCTGCACTGCAGACCTACTGAACCAGTACCTCTGGGGCGTGGGGCCTAGCAATCTATGGTCTCGCAAGCCTTTAGACCATTCTAGGAGCTCTGGTGGTTAAGGTATTTGGCTGCTAACTAAAAGATCAACATCTCAAACCCACCAGCCTCAACATGAGAGAAACAGGAGGCAGTCTGCTTCCATAAAAATTTACAACCTTGGAAACCCTATGGGGTAATTCTGCTCTGTCCTATAGGGTCTCTATGAGTTGGAATCTACTAGATGGCAGTGGGTTTGTTTTTTGGTTTTTTTTTTTAGACCATTCTGATGCATGCTCAAGTTTAAGAATGACTATTCAGGACAGTGATAATAAGTTGTTCAGGAAAACAAAGTGCCTGTTCTTTTGGAGCAGTGATAAATAGATGGGTATAAACAAAATTTCAGGCAGAGCTAAGTATTGTCAGGGAATCTAGAACAGGGGAAGGAGCAAGTATGCAGGGGTACTTAACCAATATCTCTCTGATGGGTATGAGCTCTGAAGTCAGAAAAAGCAGGTGTGAATACTGGCTCCACTAGTTACCACCCTTTTAAAGGTTTAGTTTCCTCATCTCATAAAATGGAGATAACAATATTACTTCCCTTACAAAGTCATTCTGATGGTTAAAAAAGATAATGCTTGTAAAATTCTTGCAGATGTTTCTGGCAAATTGTAAGGCTCCAATAAATGCTAGGAACTCTGGTAGCGTAGTGCCTAAGGCACTTGATAGCTAACCAGAAGGCTGGTGGTTCAAACCCACCAGCCACTCCTCGGAAGGAAGGTTGGGCAATCCTACTTCTGTAGTGATACTGCCTCGGAAACCCAAGGAGGGGTCGCTATGAGTCGGGTCCCACTTGACAGCACATAACAACAAACAACAAGAATAAATGCTAGCTCTACAAATATGAGGGAGTAGTGCTATAGATCTATAAATGTATATTTTGGAATCACTAGTGTAGAAATTAATAGTAAAGTGGATGTAAAGGAGGATAGAGTGAGCCATGAGAGAAGATGACAGATGGTGGGATCTTATCGGTGGGTAAGAGGGTAGAAAGTATTTTACAGTGAGATAAAGGAATGGGAGGTGAAGAAATGAAGATGTGTAGAGAGAGTCATTACTCAAACCCAGCTAAATCTGGGCACCTGGAATAGTAGGCCAGTGGATTGAGTGACCAACCATTGCAATTTGCCACACACGAAAGGGGTTTCTAGAAGCTCTGGTAGCATAGTGCCTAAGGCACTTGACTGCTAACCAGAAGGCTGGTGGTTCAAACCCACCAGCCACTCCTCAGAAGGAAGGTTGGGCAATCCTACTTCCATAGTGATACTGCCTCGGAAACCCAAGGAGGGGTCGCTATGAGTCTGGGCCGACTCCACGGCACATAACATCAACAACAAAGGGGCTCCTGGGATGCAGGACCTATAGCGCTAAAAGTAGGAAAGTCTTGGGCAAACTGGAATGAGTTGGCCACTTTACCATAGAAAGGACCACGGAGGGGTAAGGTGGGAGTCGTAAGTACTCTGAACTTTCTTTCCTGGTGCCCTCTGATCTCCTTCTAGTATTTGACTTCCAGTGGCCTAACCCAACCTGAAGCCAGAGGACAAGGGAGCGGGAGTAATGCAGTTGGGAGGGGTCAGCCTTGCCTGGACATAAAATAGAGCAAAGAAAGGACAGAAAATGAACATGGAGGGGCAAAAATAAATGAATAAATAAATAACTGGCACAGTGGCAACGTTGGGATTAAAATGGTCTGGAGTTAGATTGCCTTGAGAGCTTTTACTCTTTTTTCTGTCCAAAGGTAGAAGCTCTTTAGGAGTGATATAGATGTTTTCTGCACCCTCAAATTAACCTTAATATTACAGAAATATACAGCAACCCTTCCCTGGGTTTCTGAGGTGGTATCTACAGAAGTAGATTGCCCAACCTTCCTTCTGAAAATTATAGAAATCTAGCCAAGGATAGGAGTCCCTGGTGATGCAATAGTTAATGTGCTTGCTGCTAATCGAAAGGTTGATGGTTCCAGTCTACCCAGAGACACCTTGGAAGAAAAGCTTAGCAATCTACTCCTAAAAAATCAGCCATTGAAAGACCTATGGAGCACAGTTCTACTCTGACATGCATGGAGTCACCATGAGTCAGAATCCATGAAACAGCAATTGGTTTGTTTTTTAACCAAGAATAAGAAGGTATTGGTGGTTCAGTAGTAATATTCCTACCTTCCAGGTGGGAGACTGTCTGATTCTGGCCAATGCTCCTCATGTGTGACAACTGCCCATCACTTAATGGAGGCTTGTATGTTTCTTTGATATTGAACAAGAGCCCTGGTGACATGATGGTTAAAGTGCTCAGCTGTGAAAGGGAAGGTCAGTGGTTTGAACCCATCAGCTGCTAGGTCAGGAGAAAAGACCTGGCAATCTACTCCCATAAAGATTAGGAACCTTATGAGGCAATTCTACTCTGTCTTATAGGTCAGAATCCACGCCACAGCACACAACTCTTGATGCTGAACAGGTTTCATTGGAACTTTCAGACTAAGATGGCATAGGAAGAAAGGCCTGGCCATCTAAGTCCAAATATCAGCCAGTGAACACCTTACAGAGTCACATGGGGATGACACAGGACTGGGCAGCACTAGTTCTGCCATGACTAACAAGCAACTAAGGATATTCTTTGGTATCTGAGCAATCCACAAAGCTTTCCCCGCCCCCCACCTCGATGTTCAGTGGTGTGCCATGTACAAGAATGGGCGGCCAAGATCTTGCTGCTCCGTACGGAGTTACTGCAGAAAATCCTTACAGGCGCCCAAGATTCTCCCTGAATAGATTCAGAAACAGAACACGCTTGAGTGCTCAGGAACCATTTTGCAGCTCACTTAGCGCCTGCAGGTTCACTCCTCAGATTCCGCTTGATCCGAGTTGCCGAGTTATGGCACGGGGGCCAAAGGTCAAAGACCACCACTCGCGTGATACTTTCTTGCAAAACCAGAGAATCCGACTACCCGCTTCCAGCGCACCTCTTCCACAGCCTCAGCTGACAACTGGAGCCAAGACCCGCCAACCCAACCCAGATTATAGTGTGGAGCCGGCCGGGAGGCGCTCCGTGATTGGTAGAACGGAGTGGAGGCGGGGTCTCAGTTAGAAAACCTCCTTTGGATTGGTGAAAATCCTCAAGGGTGGGGCCTCCACTAAAGCTGGGCGCGAAAGATCGAGCGGCTGTGCGGCGCTGGAGGAGGCTGGAGCGGTTTACTCAAGCTGAGGGAAAGGAAGGCAGGTGGAGCCCTGAGGAGGCAGGAATCATGACAGGCGAGGTGGTTTCTGAGGTGAGGATATGCACAACTCTCTAACTAGGGCTGTGGATGCTTGGTACCGAGGGGTAGGAGAGGGAGGAAGGGCAAAGGCGGGCTCGCTGTGGGTCGGAGGACTACAATTCCCGGAGTGCACCGCGCCGGCCCCCGCGGCCCCTGGGCCAGCGGGGCGCGAGACTTCGGCCAACGCTGTGTTGGGGCCCTCGCGCTTTGACTCTCCTGGCTGTGTTGCTCCAGCTCTTTACGGTGCGCGCTGCCGGCTGTAGAGCCCCTCCTCATCCTGTCGATCCCACTTTCCCTCCCCTTTGGCGCGTTTCTTGCCGTTGGACCCCTTCCTCCTACCCAGACCAACCCACTGCAGTGGAGTCAATTCCGATTCGTAGCGACCCTATAGGACAAAGTAGAACGGCCTCATAGAGTTTCCAAGGCTGTAAATCTTTAGGGAAGCAGACAGGCTCAGCTTTCTCCCGCGGAGCGACTTGTGGGTTCCAAACGCTGACCTTCCGGTTCACCACTGCACCACCAGAACTCCTCTTCCTCCAACAGTGTCTCAGATGAGTGCACTGCCGGGCAGAAACCGGCGGCTGGGATGTGGGGCGGGATTCTGGATAAGTAGATCTGGGGAGTGGGGTGGGGTGGGGTGGGGTGTAAGAGAGTCTTTGACCCCCTCCTTTTCCGACTGATCTGAGAGTAAAGTAACCTGGCTAGTAGCTGAGGAAGTTGGATGTAGAAACCACATCAGTTTTCACACCTGTGTGTTCTTTTCTGGAGCAGAGACTAGGGGCTGAGGCACATACATGCCTTGAGCGCAAAATTTAAGGTGGTGCCAACAAACGCAGTAATTCAAAACCAAAATCCCACTGCCCTCCAGTCGATTTGGACTCATAGCAACCCCCATTGGGTTTCCAGTGCTATAAATCTTTGCGGAAGTAGATTGCTTCATCTTCCACCGGCTGAGCACTGTGGTGGGTTTGAACCACTGACCTTTTGGTTAGCAGAATGCCTAACCCACTACACCACCAGAACTCCTTCTAAAAGATAATTGTTGTTGTTATGTGGCGTGGAGTCGGACCCAACTCATAGCGACCCCTCCTTGGGTTTCTGAGGTGGTATCACTACGGAAGTAGATTGCCCAACCTTCCTTCCGAGGAGTGGCTGGTGGGTTTGAACCGCCAGCCTTCTGGTGAGCAGTCAAGTGCATAGTTTTCTAAAAAAAACATAACCACAAACTAGTACTAAGCCTAAAAAATTTAGAATTACTGCAAATATTAAATATCTAGTCAGTGCTCAGATTTCTGACTCATATTTTTTCAGTGTTTTTGAAGCAGGATCTAAAGTCTGCAAATTCCTGTGCAATTATGAAATAATTCAGACCTTGAATGAAAGAGGTTTATAACATTTATTATTTTTATTTTCAGGAATAGACTGTAGTAGCCCATGTTGTGGATTAATTTAATTATTCTCTTGATACATACCTTAACACTAATATACAGGTTCCTATCTTTTTTCTTGCAATTTATGCCTTAGAGAAACCATATAGTTTGTTCTGAAAAGTTTCCCACATTCTGAATTGCATCTCTGTGTTATATAACATACTCCTCTGTCTTCTGTAAAAGGGTAGTTAGATCTAGAGTTTCTAGATCTGATCAGATTCAGATTTGATTGTTTCAGCAAGAGTGGTTGATAAGTGGTGTTGGGTACTTCTGTCAGGTGGCACATAATGACTGATTATTTCTCCTTTTGTGATGTTAGCAGGCTTTGATCATTGCCTAGGTCTGTTATTTGATTGGAAATTGTAAAATTGTTTAATTCTGTCATTTCTTCTTCATTGATTAGCTAGGATATTTCTCTAAAGAGAAACTTCCCCTCATTAATCATTTGGATACACTGAGGAACAATTCACACAGGAATAGCATAATACATGTTTGATTCTTTTCATTTATTTACCACTGTTCACTGTAAACAGTTCTATAAATCAGCCAAGTCAATTCCTATTCAGAGCAACTCTTTAGGACAGAGTACATCTGCCCCATAGGGTTTTCAAGGCTATAATCTTTACAGAAGCAGACTGCTACATCTTTTCCCAAGGAATGGATGGTGAGTTTGGATCACTGACCTTTTGGTTAGCAGCCAAGCACTTAAACCCCTGTGCCACCACTTAGTTCTATAGTGTCCCTCAAAGATGACCAATGAATTTTTGTTTTTTGTCTTTGTTGTTATGTGCTGTTGAGTTGGACCCAACTCATAGCGACCCCTCCTTGGGTTTC